CACTAGAGAGAATGCAGCTTTAACACATGAAGCTTTGACTTCACAATCGGAGGTTTGTCTCCTGGTTCTTTAGTACATAGCGGTCTAAATGTGATGTGGTTACATGTGGTATCTTTTTCTATTTAGACTCTTCTGTAAAGTGTCTTATGTCACCCATAATGCATTGCGTGTCAGTCTAAGTCAGTCACAATGAAGCTTCACATAATTGCACATTTACGTGTCTACAGTATGTTTGACCTGAGTTTATATTAAAGAGCAACACGTCTCAACAAGTGTATTTGTTCCTGGTCTTTTTTGCCAGGTTCATGAATTGCTAGTATTATTCCTTTACTTGTTTTGGATTTGTTTTTCTTTGCTACAAAAAAAAACAACCTTCATCAAATATTTAAGTATAAAAAAAAAAGAAGAGCAACAAGTCTAACTTGACTTATCTTACATCACTTTAGACAAAAGCTTCTGCTCAATACATTTTCATTCATCAACACAAACGGTCTCTCCTGGTTACTTCGCCATTGCTTTGTTGTGTGTTTTAGTTGCAGAGTCACTAACACACACACACACACACACACACCTCCCTGCCAGGTTTGCATGGCAACACTCAAACTTTTCCTTTGCAGAGCCAATTTGTATTTCCGTCCTGATTCCACTGCATCTCTCTCTCTCTCTCTCTGTGTCTCTCTCTCTCTCACTCTCTCTCTGTGTCTCTCTCTCTCTCTCTCTCTCTCTCGCTGTGGTTTAGTTCAGAGTTCATTATTCGGGAGCAGCAGTGACTCGTCTTCACTCTCAGCAGGAGGTTTTAGAGGTAAATCTGTTTTTGTTGATTGATTACATATTTGTTAATTATGTTTTTATGATTGATAGAACACAGGAGGTCTTGTTTCTCTACATTCAGAACTCTGAAGGTGCTTTTCTGTGAGCAGATACTGTTAACCTCTAATCCTCCAGACCACATTCAAATGTAGGGTTTGTAAAACGGGTTGAGACTTTAAAACCCTGGTTCCTGGCCTGAGTACATTATGTATTCAGTGTAATCAATGATTCTACTACTTGTACGTCTTGACTGTCAGATGGCAGATCCAGACTCTGAGGCTCCACAGAGGGAACACTTGCCCATTCTTCCCCCAGTCAGCAGCCCTGAACACGGGCTGAGCGCCTGTGCTCCTTCCCCGGACAAGGAGCTCCGGGCAGGAGGGCAGGGAGTCCAGGACGGCCCTGAGGAGGAGGAGGAGGAAGGAGGAGGAGGAGCCAGTACCAAACCTAGACCTTCTCTGCTTCATGTCCACAGACGTACATACAACACACTCAAATTATTGTCAAAATACATTAAAACTAATGCTAATGCTGAAGCTAACAGGAAGTCTGCTGACTAATACTGGGGTGTTTTATTGGACACGTTTAACTGTTTTCTTGGATCCCCAGATGTGATTGGCAGAGGACATCGGCGAATAGGAGGCCAGAACCTGAGAGCCATTGATCACATGTCTCCTCCGCCGGCTGCTCCGTCCCCGATCACCGTCACCTCTGTGAGTCAACAGTTACAGCAGTCGGCCACCGGAGGTGTTGTCATGTATCCGTGTTCTCAGATTTTAACTATTAAAACAACAACTATAAATCTGGTCATTTAACTTGTTGCAGTAATTTCTCGATACTGCATTTTGTTAATTCTTGACCCGGCATGAGCAGACGTGTAACCGTGCGAACCGCTGCTCTGTACAGAACTTTGAGGGACTACTTTCTCTCCAGGTGTCCGGTAGTAGGACGGTGCTGTTGTCCAATGAGGCGAGGAGAGAGATGGCGAAGCAGGCCAGAGCCGCGAAGGAGGAGAGAAGAGCGACGCTGGACGCCCGGCACAGATACTTGATCAGCAGGTTGGTGGACGGCGGGACGCCGGGGGAGCCGGAGGTGGAGGACTCCCTCATCTCTGATGACAAGGTATCATCACAGGCTGGTTCTGAAACTACAGAACCTCCCTCTGCTCTGTTTGTCACAGTGTGATAGTATATGTATATATAAACCTATATACGTATATGATAATTATAATAATATAAAGTAACAACAATATAAATACAACGATGATAAAGATATTAATTCTGCAGTCTTTGGATCGTTCATGTCTGGTTCTTCCAGTTCAGCCTGGTTGATGATTTCTTCGCTGCCAACGGATCCAAGAAGCTGATTTTCTTTTATCAGGATGTGAAGCAGGTGAACCGGTGCTTCTTTCTCTTCCCTCGTTATCTGCCGTTTCCTCGCCATCGTTTGTCTCACCGTGCTCTGACTTGTGTTTCTGCTCAGAATCGGTCCTCCGGTCCCTCGTCCTCCGTGGATCAGAGGAAACTCTTCCTCACCACAGGGAGCTCTGAGGTACAACTGTTCTTTAACAGTCACAGAAAGGAGCCGAATCAGGAACCTTACGTCTTGTTTTGCGCGTTCCTGTTTGACTTTCTGAAAACCAATGTGTGAACGAGTGGGGTTACTTCATGTGGGGGTTTTTGATTTAAGGACGGGGACTAAGTTTAGAACCAGGTCAAACCACAAGGAGAGTTCCTACGAAGTTTCACGGGTTCCTGGAGAGTTTCATGCTGCAGAGCAGCAGAAAGGAACAAGTGGAGACCAGGTGTAACCGAGAGATGCTTCATGAGTGCATGTCTGTCATCTGATATTTAGTTTCACTCTGAGCTCAGAACACTGCTGCCCCGCCTGTTTAATCTCCATTGTCCTGCCTCAGAGGTAATAACTGCTCTGCTTCAGTCTGTGAGGCGTTGCTATGGAAGAAAATGTTGCTTGTTTTGGCGGTGAGCCAGGTGACACCAAACACCTGCAGCACACATTACACAGTGTTAAAAACCAACCAACCACTTCTGCTTCTCTTCAACCAAACAATCAGAGCAAACACATTGATAATGGTACTAATACATTCTGATTAATTAGTACATTTGTATATTCAGCTATCTAAAAGTTTAGTTTTAGACGTAGAGACGTCGTATACGTCTCTGGTAGAGACCTGTCAATCACCGTGTAGCCTCGCCCTAAAGCATCCCCTGCTTTATGGTCTGT